GGAGGTATCATGTGACGGCCCCCATAATACAAGGGCTGTCCTCCGTCAGTTTTGCGTTAAGTAGAGGAAACCTTGCAATCATCCTAGCCAAATCTGTCACTCAAATCGTGTGTGAGATGTGTCGTACTGCTATTATGTTTTCCCTTTATGTTATGTTACTGCTTTTGGAAAGTGAAAGGAGCTATATATTTTTCCTTCTTAGGACCCAATGTCACTGCTTTTCGGATACTAGCAAAAGGGTATATTTGGGTTGCAACGGGAGACAAAATTAGTGTGTCCATCTCCATCAATGCGGCACAACATCATTTGAACAGTGCCACTAGACAACGGCATATAGTCGCATGGCAGGGTCTAGAAAAAAAATGCATACCACCGCGCAGGCTTTGCCCAGCGCCGCTGGCCTTCGTCGGCGGCAAGGGGTAGGAGCTGGTGATGGAGTCGAAGGTGCTGTAGATTGGGTCGCCGCCCGTGTCACCTAGGTTAGGTGACGCCGGGGGCGGTAGATCCTCATGTCCTTGATATTTTATACTCGATCACGTTGTTTTTTTAATAAGTTTGTTTAGAAGTTCAATCTTTTTTGTGTTGAAAAAACTTACTATAACAGTATCGAAGGTGACCCGTTATCTTTGTTTTTATTCCTCTTTGTTGTCGATGCTTTGTCTGCTTTGGTTAACAAGTATATTGCAGAGGATGGTTTCGAGATGTCGAGTTTATCACACCTCTGGTTGTAGATGACTCGTTGTTGTTTGTTTGGGCTTCTGGACAACGAGTTGCTATACAAGCTGTTTTTAACCCCTTTCCGTAATGGCATTCTAAACCGCTGCCTTGCCTGTGTGCGCGATAGGGGGTCCTTCCCACATGATCCAGAAACCGCCGGGGATAGGGAGTAGTAATGCATACGTTTTGCAGAACTAAGCGTATGCGATGCCGGCATCTATCCCAAACACGATTCTGATATTTCAAATATCCCAAACACCCCATCCTTGCTACTCGTTTGTGCTCGCATTACCATCGAAGACGCTATTCCGTGGTGGAACGTTTACAATGCATGCCCCATCACAAACAATTCATGATTGTAGAGCATGTATGATAAGGAGACAATTACACACATTTACTTTTACTCAACTGTATGCGATTCGATCTAAGAGTGCATACAGTTGTTCCTATAAACCCGTGTGCGAAGCTTGAATATATCTCACATGATTCATCTGTCGTACCCGTGTTGGATGAAGGCCTACCGCACACGTTCTACCATGAGCAAACGTTTATGATACACACGACATCATAAACAGTCTATAATTGCCAAGCATGTGTGATAAGGTGACTTTCGCAAACATTTATTTAGAAAAAAATTGTGTGTGCAATAAAGATTCATTGCACACGTAGTGGATCTGAGAAACGTGTCTGATCTTGACATTTATCATAGACGTTTTGCTTTCGCAAACCGTGTGCAGTGTACTGGCTTGCAAAGTATAATTAATCTCAAGTTTTGTCCCTAATTTAATCAGTAATTTAAAATTTGAGAATTTAAAAATAGGCAATCACTTATTTCATATCGAGCCATATTTATTACAAATATAGGTTCAAGGACGCATATATTTGATGCATAGTTACATATACCGAAGAACTACAGAAGCCCCAAGTAAAGAATGATGAACCATAGTTGTTACGTATATGAAAACTAGAACACGAAACAATACAAATATTAGGAATTTGCTTTTTGTTTTTACAAAACCATATGCAGATCATATCACAGAAATTGGATATCAAAACACCTTACAAACCATCAATTTTAATTAAGCAATCATTGTTAATTTTGAATCATAAGTACAAATTGGAGATATGGTTTCACTCGCATGTTAAAGACTGCAATGCCTTTGGTCCACTATTTGCATATAATTAGGCTCCCCACTGGATGTATATGATTTCCACTGAAGTTCAATAATTCTTCTCTAGATATAATCGCTAAATTTATCTGTTTTCTAGATGATATTTATATTAACATATAGGCAGAATAATCAAGAAATAATAGGTATCTGGAGAATAAATGGTTCAGACCGACAAATCTGCCAAATCATGTGTTTTTTCTGTTAACTCTAGAAGTGGGCCTAATGGTCTATGGAAATATCATAATTAATATATTAAATATTTGAAAAATATACATAACAATAAAATAAATCTAGCCACGCAAATGCACTGGAAACCTGCTAGTTAGAAGTAAAACAGAAGACTAAATGTCCACCTCAGGTATGAATGCCATACATGTTATAGATGTAGATTAAGTTGGTCAAAAATAATAATTCTCAAGAATTGGGATTAAAATTGTTAATTGCTAATTCTTTGGTTGATCACGAAGGATATTGATTCGATTGCATGTTGTTGCAACTCGATGCAAGAACTACTACGGCCAAAATGACCAACAAATAATGAGGTTAAGATATGTGATGGAAACTTTGTAAAAGTACAATACTTCCCATCAGTGTATTACTTCTGTGTTTATTTTCATAATTCACTATGGAGTTTTGTATACTCTACGCTCTTGCATAATATTTAAATCATTGAAAAAGTGGTAGTTCATAAAAGAATCATTGTTGCTTGTTCTTATGGATAACTAAAGGGCCATAGTATTATTATAAATCAGATGTATTTTATGAATACTGACACCTTCAGCCACCTTACACCTCACGATCCGTTGCTACTAATGTGGACATGACGTACCCGAAAATCTATGTGTTATAGAGTGTTGCTACACTAGAAACAGCACCATTAACTTGATATTTTCAGCAAGAGACCACACTACTAATTGACTACTACGCAAGCAAACGGTGCAATCAAAAAGGGATCAACATCTCATGCAATTGATTATAGCATGGCATGAAGAGGCCGGGTGTGTATTGTGTTTGTGTCCTCTTGATGCTTTATTTTGAGCTAATAAAATCCACCCTTTGTCAAAAATCATATCCCCTAACTTCAAAAATATTGTAATCTTTCCTTATGTGGTCTACCGAGGCCACCGAACAACCATACTACACACTACATTGTTTGGACATGCTATCCGTATGATTGTAACGATTTATGAGAACAATCTCAAAAATTGGATCTCTCTTCTTGTGCCACTATTGTACAATTTAATAGGCACATTACGAGTATAAGGAATTGTCAAGCTTTATGTACCTTGTAATAGTGACACGCATGGACACGTGAAGTTAAGTGATACTAATACTATTTGATTATAGACGGTATATATCCAGTTATAAGTTCTTTGGTGACGAGCGATTTTGCTGGTAAGGAGAAACAAAGAGTTCCGAGAAGGAAAGAAGTGGAAAATAGTTTGTATTTGCCGATGTATGATGTCCCACTCTTAACAAGTATTTCTGAATTGAAATAATAATTTGATCAATTTGTCTATATTTTATTAACCATGGCAACATACATGCATTCGGCTTGTCCCCGTAGCAACGCGCGGGTATTGTCCTAGTACTTTAATAAAGATGGCGTTGATGTACTTGATACTTTCGGAAGAAAAAATATAGGCCCTGTTTGGTTCCAAATAAGTCACCAACTTATAAGTCGAAAAGTGAAAAAGTGACTTATTTTACCAGACATACCCAACTTATAAGTCATAAGTTACTCCATCCCAACTTAAAACTTATAAGTCACCTCCTTTTGCGTGGGTCCCATCACCTTTACATAAAAAACAAGGTGGAAAAATGTGGTCAGATGACTTATAAATCAGATAACAACCAAACGGGCGTGACTTATAAGTCACTGGTTTTAAGTCACCTGACTTATAAATGAGGTGACTTATTGGAACCAAACAGGCCATAGACTTATTTTGATACTCCAATGCTGAGTGTTATGGCCACTCTCTTTTTCTCAAAACCGAGGCAAAATAGTTATCCTCACCCCACTAATAGAGGAGGATTAAAACAAAGTTCTATGGATGTCCATTAGCAATATAGCTAGTCCCTGTACGGATAGTAAGTTTGACCTTACAACAAAGTGTGTTTATAACAGGTACACGAACAGTTCCAGATTAAACTTCACAACATGTGTGTTTTTCGCAAACCATCCTGTGGTTGGATGGTTATAGAAACAGTGGTATTCTCAACCATCAAGGTTCAAGTCCTGATACTCGCATTATTCCTTGATTTATTTCAGGATTTGCTGGGATGCGCTTTCAACGGAAGGAGATGTTCCGGTCAACGACGAGGCGCCTACAGTAACTTCATAAATCTAAGATGATATATCAGCTCGGTCTCTCGAAGGTCTTCATAAGGATAGGGTGTGCGTGTGTGCATTTATAAGGGTGAGTGTATGCATGTGTATACAAGCGCTTTGCGTCCGTATAGTGTTAAAAAAACATGTGTGTTCTCCTATTGTACAATTTATTTTTGTTACACGACGTTGGCTCACCTTTTTTCTTTACGGCTCGACTTTGGCTCATATTTGTAGGTAGTGCAGATTCGTAATAGTTCGGTAAGCTTTTTTCTTTCTACACCAACTCGTCACGTGCTCTCTAAAAAAACACTCATCCTGTTGTTCTTAATAATTCTCGCCAAGTACTCCGTTCGTCTCGATGTTTTTTTTTTTTACAAAAGAGTGTACTTTTATCTTCCAATGCACTTTAAAATAGGTTTAAAAAATTGCAATTTGAAGTAGAAAAAATGTTTTTCCTTCATAACACAGTAATCAAGATCAATAACATTGTACACATGGTCTTCTTAATTTCTACATGTATTTAGCGCATTAAGGAGCAGGGTAACTAAAGATGAGAGAGTGATGGCTTACCGTTTCAATGTATTTCCATTCCACTTCATAATTTATCCTTAAATTTCTATACGTACATTTATCATCAGATGGAGGAAGTACTATAAATACTGGCCTCGTGACCAGTCCTTCAACTCACCCAACGAACATTCGAGCTAAGCTTATCTAGCTCGTAGCATCTAAATTTTCGAGTTCCCATTCCTAGTGCTAGCAAGCTACAAGCAGCAGCAATGGGGAAAACTTGCTCCTTTGTGCTGCTTGGCGCACTGGTGGTGCTCTCACAAGTTGTGAGCCCCATTGCTTGCTCCGGCAAGCTCGCCAAGGCGGCCGGGCACCACAAGCCTGCTGCAGTCAAGGGCCACAAAGACCAGACCACCACTAACCCCTCTTCGTCCGCCGCATACGGCGGCGGCTGGTTGCCCGCCGGCGCCACGTATTACGGTAACCCCAACGGCGCCGGAAGCGACGGTTAGTGCTTTGCTTACTTTACTGTTGGTGTTGCACGCATGGGACCTGTATCGCACCCACATTCGTTGAGCTGAGAGATACTGATAAGGAAAGAAATTTGCAGGTGGCGCGTGTGGCTACCAGACCGCTGTTGGGTACCGGCCGTTCTCGTCGATGATCGCCGCAGGGAGCTCGCCTCTATTCATGGCGGGCATGGGCTGCGGCGCGTGCTATGATGTAAGCATAACTCACCAAGCTCCTTCCATTAATGGTGCAAAGTGGACAAGTGGTCGGCTCGGCTTGTCCTGACAAATTACAAAACGTGTTCATGTGGCGTACGCAGGTTAAATGCACGAGCAACTCAGCCTGCTCCGGGAAGCCTGTGACCGTCGTCATCACCGACCTGAGCCCCGGCAACCTCTACCCCGGCGAGCCGTGCCATTTCGACATGAGCGGCACCGCCCTGGGCGCCATGGCGAAGCCTGGCATGGCCGACAAGCTCCGCGCCGGCGGTGTCATCAGGATGCAGTACAAGAGGTACGCAGCAGTACGACATAGGATAGGATCCTCTTCAGTCTACAGTTACACGGGAAACAACGGAAGTAAATGTCTCCTGATCTTGGTGTTCCTGTTAATCATCCTAGGGTGCCATGCAAGTACCCTGGCGTCAACATTGCATTCAGGGTGGACCAGGGCTCCAACCCCTTCTACTTCAAGACCTTGATCGAGTTCGTGGGCGACGACGGTGACCTCAAGGCCGTGGCCCTCAAGGAGGCTGGCAGCGGCGCCTGGACGCCAATGGCGCAGGACTGGGGCGCACTGTGGCGCCTCAACAACGGCAGGCGGCTGCGCGCCCCATTCTGCCTCAAGCTCACATCCGACTCCGGCAGGGTCCTCGTCGTCAACAACGTCATTCCCGCCAACTGGAAGGCCGGGGCCACGTATCGCTCCCTGGTGAACTACCGCTAAGTTACAGCCATATTTATCTGCTCCGTGTGTGAATTTTGTACCTCGAAAAGAAAGAATGTGCGTCCGGGTGCTGCGAGAGGCGGTCTCGGATGAGGAGGAGCTTACGGAACTGTGATGTTCCCTCCCTGGTCTCTGCATTCCCCTAGTGATGTACGTATCATGTGTGTAGTCCGTCTGTCTGTATTTTTCTTAATAAGAGGAAAACGGCGAGAGAAATGACCTTTCACCATCACTTGCTTCCTCTTACTAAAATTTGCACTCTCAAGTTCAATACTCCGAATGGAAGTTCTTCCAATAAAACTTGAACCGGTGGCGTGTATGCACAACAATTCTTTGGACAATAAAATTTCCTCATCATGAAACGCGATAGATGCAAATTACCGTTACTCTGTACTAGCACCATTACCCACCTGGACACTGGGAACCACCGGTAGCTGCGCCTGCGCGATTGATTCTGCTGCCCTGTCATGCCGTGGAAGACACATGCAATTCTCCCGAAAACGTAGTGAAAGGAGCAGAGAGCCTTGAATGTTTCAAATACTGATTGCCCTACTCAATTATTAACATAAGCTGTTTGTTGAAAGTATTTTTAATGGAGCTTCAGTTCTACGTACACATGTATAGACACTACTCTATAAGTCTACGTACAAAATCTTCGGTTGTGTCTTTTCTATAATCAGGATTCGTTCTACTTGTACTACACTAGTACTCGGCTTTATGAACTAGATAGTGGCCAACCGGTTTGGCATGTGGCTCCCACAAATTAAGACGCTCCACTGGACAGGGATCAGGTGACTTGCCTTCAGGCAGTCACGCTGTAACATGCGGACACACATCCAGCGTCCATTACACATTCAACGGCCATTAGCAATCAATGTGAAAAAAAGCTCCAGATCTAGCACACGCACACATGGAGACGCCCACACTTGTAGCAAGTAGATTTTTAGAAGTACTAGTAATTAAGAGCAGATTTTAGTAGGACCGTTCACAAAAAATATATCTGATAGAAACAACTGGACTGATTATGCATGAACATTAAAAAAATTAAAACTGAACAATTTTTTTTTGAAATTCTATAACCAGATCAAGAACCAAAGTCCGGCCACTAAGCAGTATTTTAGACATTTTGTACATCTGATCTGGTGTATGAGTAAGGGCAACTCTAACCGACCGATCCAAATGAAGACATCAAAGTTTGGCTTTGTCCGTCCGTCTATCGGTACACCCAACGCGTCGGGATGCATTTCAGATTGTGGACATTTTTTGAATTAAAAATATATATACATTGCCACCCAAAGTCCCTTTATTACATTGATTAAAAAATCATAATAAAACCTATATCTAGTGGCCATCACCAGGCGTGTGTCGCTATTTCGGGCGTACGCTGCCATGCTACTCTAGTCGTGTGTTGCTCTGCAACTCCTGGCGCCCATGTCGGGAATGCCACACCTCGTCCTGGCGCCGGTGTCGGGAACACCACACGAGAGCAGCCCCCGGCTGCTTTGTGCCGGGAATGTATCTGGTGCACCGGGGCAATTGATGCTACCAGCGCACCGGTCCCCCGTTCCACATTCTAAAATGTTCAAAAAAATTGTTAAAAAATTGGTGCATTGACACAATATCAATGTATATTTCCATAAAAAATTTAATCAAAATTTAAAACATTGCTCGAGATAAAAAATGACAAATTGCCTCGGTGCACCAGATACGTTTCCGCTTTGTGCCGGCGTGTACAACTAATGCTGCTCCTTCCCCAGCGGCGTGGCCGAGGCATCCGATCCCACCCGACGGGGAGCTGCTACATCGGTGGCGTCTCGGAGTAGTAGCTGGCTAGCGAGTAGCTGCGGGGGGAGTCGCTGCACCGGCGACGTGGCCGGGGCGATACCGTGGCTGCTACTGGCGAGGTGTGCCGTGTGGTGAGAAAGAAAAAATAAATAAAAAGATGGATGGGTGGATGGCAGCTGGGCCAGGCGGGACATGCAGCTGACGGAGGTGGACGAAGAAAACGCAGAAAACGTTCGCTTTGTGTCCGTCTCCAACCCAAATCTGAGTCAAATTTGGGACGAAAATTTGTCCGAACACATGACACTGTGTTTTGCATTGGTCTATCCATTTTTTCCGCGCGGACACACAGACGGATTGCCTCGCTGTGTTGGAGTTGCTCTTAATGCATAGCTGCTGTTTTTAGAGAAATGCATAGCTGCTGTTGGATGTACATGAAAACTACAAGTGTGGGCGTCTCCGTGTGTGCGTGTGCTAGATCTGGAGCTTTTTTTCACTTTGATTGTTGATGGCCGTTGGATGTGTGCCCGCATGTTACAGCGTGACTGCCTGAAGGCAAGTCACCTGATCCCCGTCCCGCTCCACTTGTAGAATTTAACATCCATACCCAATTTTCTACACCAGTGTGCATTATACTCATCGTGTGTACTATGATATTTAGTTGTGTTTGCTATTTCTATCATGTTTTTGTCCAAGATGGTATATTTTATTTTCCTGCGACAACATTTTATCCAAACTATTGCCAGAGAAAGATTCCTTCCTGAATTTGATCTCATTTTAAAAAACAAAACATATTGATTCAATTTATAAGGGAAAGCTGATCGAAAGCCTAAACAAGACGGCTCTATTTACAAGAAAAAACAAACAAAAAATTGCACATGCAACGAGGCCTTGTTGGCCACAAAACACTAGACCACAGTCATAAAGCACAGGCAGACGCTAGGATTCAGAGACACCACTCAACTTCCCGAGCTCGCATGCGAGCCACAACGCCACGTCACTCGGACACATTGTAGCCCTTGCTACATGAGACGATCGCCCGCAATCCACAAAAGTTACGCCAAACATCTAAGGCCATTGTTGTCCCAACATACTAGCCAGACTGGCTCATCAGATCGTTTCTACCGGGCCGACGAACTCACTACCCTTGCCGCATTAGGTCACAACCCATGCAACACTGAGCGGCTAGCCTACAGCCTAGAGTTGTCGCCGCACCTCCATTCGAGATCGCTGCCTTGGTGCACATCCATTGTTCAGAGTCGTCGCTCCGGCATCACAAACCCATACCACAGAGCAGCCGACCCAAAGTGCCATGACCCACCAAACCAGAAAGGAACACTGAAAGAAGAGTAGATGGCGGCACGACAACGCCCAAAGGCAACACCAGTGGATAGTAGCGCCATTACCAAACCGAACACGACCACCCGCAGCAAAGAAAAGACAATGCCTTCAAGAAGGGAAACGACGCCCACAGACGCTGCCATCATAGAACTTTTCCTCAAAACCATATCCATCACAATAAAGATACTCAAGAGTACCGTAGGTCTCCAAGGCAACGCCGGAGAAGGCTAAAATTGATTAGATGCGAGACGCGCAACCAGGCGAAGAGGCACATAGCACCGCTAAGGTGGACGTCCACACCACGAGCTAGACCCAGTCGATGCACCAGACAGAGAGCATGGGAAGCCGACACCATCGTGACTAACGCACAGGACACGACGAAACCTTCGACAGGAGCATGGGCTCCTCTCGAGATCTCCCAAAGCTTCATGTGCTTCTTGTCTCCCAAAAAATACGTGTTAAATCAGCGACTTATGTTAACCTCTGTAGATACTGATTTCCTGCGAAACCAAAAACAAGCAGAAAACAGGAACTGACATTGAGCACTAAACTAATAGGTTAGTCCAAAAAAATAGTATAAATTGCTATAAAATGTATATAAAATGATAATATAATAGCATGAAAGAATCAAAAATTATAGATACGTTTCAGATGTATCAACGACTTGCATGATCATCCTTGTGTCCTCATCTAAATCCTCCATCTTCAAGGCGTGAGCATCTTCGTGTCCTCCGGGGCAGCTGCAATCCCTACCTTCTTCTTCTCGAGCATGGCCTTATTCTCTTTGAGCTTGAGTTTCTTCTGAGTCGCCACCATCAACATGATAAGTATCTCGGCCATGCATGCCTACTTGACGTCTGAGCCTTGACGTATGCCCCCTCTTTCTTCACCAAGATGTCTCCAAACCTCCCTGTCATCTTGTCCGCCACACCTTCTCGCTTCGCCCTCTCCTCCTCCGACTTCTTGTCCCAAAACCCTCTTCTAACCTTCTTGGGCGGTTCTTTTGTTGGGTTGGTTGGATCACCGGTTTCTTCCTTGGTGCCATGGGCGACAGTCTTAGCAATGTATAGCTTCCACTTGGGTTGTCCATTCAACTTCAACCAACAATGCATGACGGCGAAGGTTTTCTTCTCCAACTTTAAGAACACACTACATGCACGGGAAGACTACAAAATAAAACATTGTCAACAATGCATATCCGGCTACAAATGATCATCAAAACAATGCATATCCGGTTACAAATTGTTAATAAAACAATGCATATCCGGCTACAAATGGTCAACAAAACAATGCATATGAGGCAAAATTCCTGGTTCAGGAGGTTTAAACAAGACTTTAGTCTTCTCAAATATAGATCATCTGTTGAACTTGAAGGCTACATTAACACCTTCCCGCAAAACAATGCATATCCGGCTACAATCTTGTGTGCTTTGTAAAACCATGTAAATCCTACACATTTACCATGTTTGCTTAATACAATGAGACTGTAGGAAACTCTCCTACAGTCATTTAAAGCTAAAAAAGAATGCATATCCGGTTACAGAAGATCAACAAAACAATGCATATCCGGCTACAAATGGTCCACACAACAATACATATCTAGCTACAAATAATTTACACAACAATGCATAAATGGTTGCAAATAATGTACACAATCTCGTAATGCGCGGTTGGGCGATGGTGGGATGGACCCACGGCCCAGGCCCCGACCTCCACCATGTCCCCCACCAGCACCCGCACCACCACGACCACCACCTACGCCTCCACCAGCCTTCTGATTCTTGAGTGTTGGCGCCTTTGCATCCTTCGCTTTGACGTGACGATTTTGCCGTCTCAACAAGTTGATCTTCCAGACGAGCATGATCCCCTGACCTGCG